ACCAAGGGCCAGACATGTCTCAGACAGGCTAAATGTAACCACCAAGGGCCAGACATGTCTCAGACAGGCTAAATGTAACTACCGAGGGCCCCATGTACAATATATACCCCTAGACAAAGAGCTGACAGACAGAGAGAGAGAGCTTTTCTCTCTCTGCCAGGAGCTCTGACACTTCTGTATTCTTTTCTGTAAATAAATCCTGATCTGTGGTCCGTGGATTCATTCTTGGAATCGCCAAGACCAAGAACCTACTGAAGAGTGAAATTGTGGTATCACTATCACATACAACAAACAAGGTCTCAGACACCCACATTCTAGTTCCAGCCCTTCGGGACCTTGGCAATCACAAAATTTGGGCCTTCTGTTTCCTCATTATGAAGTGAGAGGCAAGAACAAAGTTGTCTCTAAGGCCTCTATGACTCTGTATATTTTTGCATTTCCACTTTGAATCCAAGTTTCCCAGCTTTGATGGCATTGTCTCCTTTTTGCTTGTCTAGATGATGCTCATCTTAAGGCACAGTTTGGGTCCTAACTGTCCTTAAGATTTCTTCGATATTCAGCTTAAGCTTCTGGGATCTCCGAGGCATTTTTTTTTTAATGTCTGTCTCATCTCCCTTAGGGTCTCACACATTTCTTTGCATACACGACATATGGTAGGTATACGTTTGGTATTTTTTTCCTCTCAAGACCATGAATTCTCACCTCTGCTATTTGCTTTATTCCAACAATAGCTATGTTGAAAGCTCTTTTTAGCTCAATGAGCTTTCATTACTGTACCAAACACCTAATTCACATCCCCTTTATCCTAGAAATTGTCTTTTGATCGCTCAGACCCTAGTTTCCAACTGATTATTTCTCTAAAAATAGCTCTCTTCTGGCCTCTGCTGTTGAGATAGCAGACAACCGTTTCATTAATTCTTTGCTTACATTAAACTACACACTAAAGAGCTCAGGTATAAGGACGCTGCAGTTTACCATTGCAGATACCATTCCAACAGTATCAACGTAGCTTACACTGCTACGGATAATAGACAGCTGGATGGTAAAATTTAAGATATAATTAAAATTTCTAAAGTGGTATTTTTCAAAATTAAATTCATGCTTCTTGGTTTCCTGGAAGCTGCCAGGTGGATCATGTTATTTGTTAGAATTAACCAAATAGCTCCACAAAGAGGCCACGAGATGAAGAAAGTGCTATTAATCTGTCAATCCTGCCTGTGCCCAGAAATTCATGCTTAAGATGCCAGAGATAACAAAGTAAGATTCTCAAGTGTGTTTCTTTAAAAGCTTGTTCTTTTGGAAAACGTTTGTCATATCTTGCCTAATTTTAACACAGTAGTACTAGTGTACTACAATACAGTAGTATTGTGTCTGGTAAAAATAAAACACTTGGAAAATATATATTAAACAAATGAATTAGTTTCATGTGGTTTATATAACATAATTTTTTTTGTAACTGAATTATGAATTAAGAACAGTCTTGAAAGGAAACTCTGTGGTACCCTGTTAAAATTCAAGTGTCTCTCAAATTCCTAGCCTTTAGATGCCCCACTATAATGGACATGAGTTCTGATTCTGGAATAGCAATCATGGGTTCTAATTTCATCCCTATTAATTATTAGAGGTAGCCATGTGACAATTCTGGCCACTAAGAAGGAAAGTTATTGGAGAGTGCTTTGTGGAAAACTTCTTGAAAAGGGAAAAAAACAAATGGCATGTGCTTTTTCTTTTCCTTTCATCCTATATAGAATGTGGACATGATGCCAGTGATAACATAGCTATTTTAAAGACACAAGGATGAACACCAAATACAAAGTATGGAAGAGCAGAAAACTAGGAGAAATCTGGGTCCCCAGGCATTATTGGAGATGTGTTAGCAGTCTTGGACTGCCGACCTGTATGCTTTTAAAGGTGAGAAAAAGAAAGCCAGTTATTTATTGTTTAATCTGGTTTTTGGATCCTTTTTTAAAAAAACTTAATATTATTAAGTCATAATTTGAGGATTGAAAGAGAAACATCTATGTGAAACATTCCATATAGTACAAATGGTGCTGTATTTTTGGGTAATTAGTTGACTGCTAGCAGAGAATAAAAATCAAACACAGAATAAACAATTTGGGAGGGAAGAAAAAATGTTAAATAGAACCCGTTAAGGTTATACAAAATGAGAAGCATATTCAGAACCAAACAATGTATATAGGTGATCTAGCACATAGTAGATAATCATATATATAATTTCTTTTTCTATCTTTTCTGTCAGAACACAAGCAGATGCCAGTTATTCACAGGAGAACCTTGATCAACAGAGTAGAATAAGAAAGAAGATTTCAGGAACCTTGAGAAGATTAAATTTATAAGCTTATTTAGATTTTGGTGAGACATTTTATTCAGTGTTGCTTGTATTCCTGTTTATGTAATACTGTCAAGATATGGATGAAAGCAGCAGTCCGCAACCTTTTTGGCACCAGGGACTGGTTTCATGGAAGACAATTTTCCCCCTGAAAAGGAGTGGTGTGGGGGAGATTATGTTCTCCTAAGGAACATGAAACCTAGATCCCTCCCATGTGCAGTTTACAGTAGAGTTCATGCTCCTATGTGAATCTAATGCTGCTGCTGCTGTGACAGGATATGGATCTCAGGTGGTGATGTGAGCAACGGAGAGCGGCTGCAAATACAGATGAAGCTTCCTGATGCTCACCTCCTGCTGTGTAGTCCACTTCCCAACAGGAAGCAAACCAGTACTGGAGACAGCAGGATTAAAGAAACACAGGAACACACAAATAAAGACACTGCTAAATGCCACCAGAAAAGGTGAAACAGATGTGGTCAGTCATCTTAATAACTCATATGCTAGGTCCTAAAGGAAAATAAAGTTGATACATAAAGAACTCTATTTTGAAGCTAAACGAAAGTTTACAACATTTATCAATTGAAAGAAATAATACAGATGAACTTGAACATATGGGCAGAGAATTCAACAAATTCAACTTGAAAACTGCATCAGAAAAAAAGTATGATTAAAAAAAATAATAAATTATGATCAGGTAAGATGATATCAATTTACAGTATAGAAGAAAGGAAAAAAGGCTGATATTTGTGGTCACTTTGAAGGTAATTTACAATAGAGGAGCACCTCATTTCAAGCCAACAAAATTAAGAAGCTGAAGAGTTAAAAGAACTATTAAAATTTACTTTTCTCTCTCTTTTTTAAAAAGATTCAAATGCCAGACACTGGTATGACTTATAGAAGAGCAATTACTTAAAAGAATAAAAGTCTGTAGTGACTAACATGAAGTCACTGCTGAATGTGAATACTAAGTGAAGATGACATAAAAAGGAAAGATCTGGGAGGCAATAAATCACAGACAACAACTAGCATATTTTCAAAACTGTATTAGGTATCACCAAATAAAGTAAATAACTCTAAAGTTAGAGTGCAAAATGAAAGCACCTTATTGTTTCAAAGGTGAAAAAACAAACATCACAAACACATCCACATTTTAAATAGTTGTGTGGTGGGTAAATACCATTTAGAAACATTTTCAACAGAAAAATGATTTATAAATCAATTTACAGATTTACAGAAGATCAAAAAATCAGTGTTTAGGACTAACTATAAACAAATAAAAAGGTGAAAACTGTCCTCTGTCTCATTTTTTGCTTCAACATCTATGTCTTCTGCTCCCTGCCTTTTGGAGAAAACATTGCGTTGTAAGGCTGCCTTCTTTTTGGACGAGGACAAGGATCAAGATCTTCCTTAATGTAACCTTAAAAGAAAATAATAAATTTAGAAGACAATATATTTGCAACATATATTTATTTTAGCATGTATCCAGTAAATTTACTAAATGTCTTATAAGTTTACACAACTCTTCTCATTAGCTATGTGATGCTGATGAATGACTTTGCTACTTAGCATTAGTTTCTGCATTTATACTAATAATAGCAAACATTTACCAAATGTTTTGCTACATTATCTTAGATAACTCTCACCTTCCTTTGGAGTAGTTTCCACTATAACTATTTCACAGGTGAGGGGAATAGAGACCTAGGAAGTTAAATAACTCACTCAACATTCATAAAGCTAGAAAGTAGAAGAGCTAAGACATTTCTCAAGTTCTTATTCCAGAACCAGAGCTCTCAGGCACTTTCTTATTCTTTCTCCCAGAGGCAGTTGCAAATGGGGACAAACTGATAAACATGGAGTCTACTATTATGATAAGTTTCAGCTGCTTATCAAAAAAATTTCTTATAGGCTGGGAGTGGTGGTTTATGCCTGCCTATAATCCTAGCATTTGGGAAACTGAGGCAGTTAGGACTACTTGAGCTCAGGAGTTCAAGACCAGCCTGATCAAGAGCAAGACCCTATCTCAACTAAAACCAGAAAACATTAGTTGGGCATTATGGCACACAGTGCCTGTAAGTCCCAGCTACTTAGAAGGCTGAGGCAGGAAGATTGCTTGAACTCAAAAGTCTGAGGTTGCTGTGAGCTTGGTTGACACCATGGCACTGTAGCCTGGGCAAAAGAGTGAGACTGCCTCTCAAAACAACAACAACCTTCCCCTATCCCCCAACCAACCAATCAAGCAAACAAAAAACAGCTTTAAAGCTGTTCACATTCTCAAACTATATTAAATTAAGTGCCATATCTGAAGGAGGTAGATGCATGTTAACAATTCAATAAATATCCTTTTTATTCAGATAGCATTTATAAACACTGAACATCCTGGCTAAGTAAAGGTTTAAAATCTGAAATTTATAAATTTTATAATCTCTGATCCCAATTAAATTACTAGAAAAGTTGAAGGTAAGCCTTTTATCTTTAGGAATGTTTTTATGTCACAAAACCAGCACCTAACTTGCAATGGACAATAAAGAGAACCATGGGGAAAAAAAGTTATAAATGTTCAGACTCGGGTACATATAGCTTTAAAAAAGATATATCTAGGCGAGCGTGGTGGCTCACACCTGTAATCCTAGCACTCTGGGAGGCTGAGGCAGGTGGACTGCAGTTCAAGACCAGCCTGAGCAAAAGCAAGACCCCGTCTCTACTAAAAATAGAAAAACTGAGGCAAGAGGATCACTTGAGCCCGAGTTGGAGGATGCTGTGAGCTATGATGCATGGCACTCTACCCAGGGTGACAGCTTGAGACCCTGTCTCAATAAATAAATAAATAAAATAAAAAATACATATCTCTAAAATGTTATAATCTAAACTCTCACCTCTCTCCATACAAGTCTGAGTGGAAGGAAAACCAACTTCCCAAAAATTCTCTGGTGTGTTGGGTGGAATGTAGCGGAATCGGTGTCTTGAACAGGAAGCCAACTTCTTTTCTCTTTCTTCTGCTGGCATATCTGCATAATACTAATAATAAAAAAGGGTAAGTTTTTACACTTAGGAATAATAAGTAGAGTGCTATGCTTACTGAGCATAAACTGGAAGGGAGAAGCCATTTACTAAAATATTTGGTGTTCTAAGGAAACTTAAAACTCATGGATAATATTAGTTAATTGACAGTATTATGTTCTTACTAACAGCAACTCAGTGCTAATGCTGGTCAGTGAAGCGTCTGCTTTGTTGATAAGAAAAGGAGCTGTATCACAGTGTCAATCAATATACTGCTTCTTTCACCAATAAAGTCTTGTGATGAAGAAAAAAAAATCTACCTGAACTTTTCAGTATGCTTAGTAAGACAGTTGACTTAAATACTGCTACAAACTCACTCTTCTTTGCTAGCCAAGTAACACAAATTCAGGTCTACAGGCTTTTAAATTGTTACTTGAATATTTCTATCTTGACAGTTTTTTAAAAATAATGAATTAGATATGAATGTTGCAGCCTTCCAGATTCTCCTCTTTAGGTTATACTTTTGAATTAAGATCAAAGGCATACTATTTTTTGCAGCTGTGATCATATAGAACTTGACTTGAACTTCAAGTAAGCAAAGATAAAACCTGTATGTAAAACCTATACAGGCCTTCAAGCTCTAGACCTAAAGAAATCAAAACAGCAGTTGAAAGTTTAATAGACACAAATGATGAGACTACATAATCTAGTCAATTCCTTCACTGCACACTTGACAAATGGAAAGTCAAGGTGATAATTTGCCAAAGATACCACCTATTGAAAGTAACAGATTTAGGACTAGAATTTAAGTAAAGGCTTTTAAACACTTTTATTTCACAAAGATTAACGGCTTTAAAGCTGTGGTCCCCAAACCCCAGGCCTCATAGCAGGAGGTGAGTGGCAGGCAGGCAAACAAAGATTCACCTGTATTTATAGCGACTCTCTATTGCTGATTCTCCATTATGGTGAGTTGTGTAACTATTTCAGTATGTTATAATAAATTTATAATAGAAACAAAGTGCACAATAAATGTAATGTGCTTGTTATGTGGTTTCATCTGAAACCATCCCACCTTCACCCTCCCATGGATGTCTTCCATGACACCTGTCCCTGGTGCCAAAAAAAGGCTGGGGATCATGGCTTCAGAGGATCTCTGAAAGAACTTTTTTAAATGTATCTTCTTCATTATGCTCACCCTACCTATAAGCCTTTGTTACCTAGTCTGGGCTTTTTTTTATTTTTTTTATTTTTTATTTTTTTTTTTTTTGAGACAGAGCCTCAAGCTGTCCCCCTGGGCAGAGTGCCGTGGCATTACAGCTCACAGCAACCTCCAGCTCCTGGGCTCAAGCGAGTCTCCTGCCTCCGCCTCCCAAGTAGCTGGGACCACAGGCGCCCGCCACAACGCCCGGCTATTTTTTGGTTGCAGCCGTCATTGTTGTTTGGCGGGTCCGGGCTGGGGATTTGAACCCGCCACCTTAGGTGTACGTGGCTGGCACCTTAGCCGGTTGAGCTATAGGCGCCGAGCCCTAGTCTGGGCTTTGAGATTGGGATGACTTTAGAGGATCATGGCTTACTGGAAAAAAACAATACCACTGAATTAAAATATACTTGAAAAGTAACAGTAAGTTCAGTAGATTAGTGCAGCTAAAACGTAGCAAGCAAGTGGGAGAGCTGTAGAATAGGAAGTCAGAGATGAAGTGGGCAGCCAGAGCCTGTCCTTGATAAAGACTTTGGATTCTATTTCTTGGTGAGATGGAAAGATGCTGAAGGGCTTTGGGCAGAAAAGTGATATGATTTAACTTTTATTTTAAAAAGATCATTAGAAAAAAAAAAGGACCATTCATTGCTACGTTAAAAGTACCACGTGAAGAGATAAGAATGAAAGAAAAAAAAAGAATGGGGACAGGGGTATATGGGAACTCTGTACTTTCTGTTCAATTTTGCTGTGAACCTACAACTATTCTAAAAAATAAAGTATAATTTAATAATATTTAATAAAAAATATTTTTTAAAAAGAGAGAGCCCTTAAAAGCTATTACAACAGTCCAGACAAGATAAAATGGTATCTTGATCCAGATGATAAGTGGATGAAAATGGTATGTATCAATTGGATTTGTTGATGGATTGATTTTTGAGACTGAAAGAAAAAAGTACCAGACAACACTATAAGATCTCTAGACATAGGGTAGACGTAGCAGTGAGATTTTGAAATTGAAGGCAGAAATTGTATGTTTGCTTTTGGACATGTGAAATTTGAGATTGTTGTCACACACCTTCATCTGTATTACACATTCTGCATATGGGATAGTCAGTGGGATAAATCCAGGAACCCAAGTATATGGACAGTATTTAAGTACATGGGATTGGCCCTTTCACTTGATGGAGTAACAGGGAACAGATTCACCCACCCACCTGAAACAACCAGAAAATCAAAAATATATGAAACAATTGTTTTCAGAGCCTGGGCCAACAGCATAGGAAGTGATTACTTAAAGAAAACCAATTTAACAGTGTTTCTAGCACAAGTCCTTTTTTTCTAACTAGCAGAATTAATTCTAAATCACAGAGTTATGGTCACAATGAAAAACTGGAGATTTACTTAGTGCAGACCACATTCTTTAGATTAGAAATCATGATATATTCAATGTTTTATGAAAACTTATGACAGGGTGGGGCCTGTGGCTCAGTGAATAGGGCGCTGGCCCCACATACGGAAGGTGGCAGGTCCAAACCTGGCCCTGGCCAAAGTGCAAACAAACAAAAACAGCCAGGCTTTGTGGCGGG